CCAATCCTCCCCCTGGAGTAGGCATTCCTGATGCAACGATTGTAATGTTCACCAGTTATAATGAACAGAACCCCAGAGTTAATATCTCAATTTAAAAAAAAAAAGAAAAAAATACTTACAAAAGCTATTAGATCTCTATTTGCTACTACCAAGGGGATGAAGTCATCACCAAACTGAGAAAAAGTTGAGAGGTGGTTTTTCTGAATGGGGGTGTCATCTGGCTATAGCCTCTTTGGAAACAGATAACAAAAAAATAGTTGGGATGTATCTGTGTGAAGTGACATGGATGAGGTGCAATTTGATTACAGCCATCAAAATCACGCTGGATAACACGTTGAACCGTGAGCAGCTGTCCTCCGTCTCCTCTGAGGATAGCAAAAAACAGGCCGGCAACCAGCAGCGGCTGTGGGTAAGAATGCTGTTTTCATTGCTACACAACCAAGTTGATCACCTTAATGATAAAAATTCCAGGCATTTCTTCATGCACACAGAGAAGTATATGTTTCTAAAAGAAAATGAGTTCTATCAGACCTTTTTGAAATGTGTGTTATTTACATAGTATGTCATAAATGTCCACGCCAATAAGTTACCTTCTATGTCAGCGGTTCTCAACCTGTGAGCCGCGACCCCTTTGTAACAATGAAAATACATCGTGGCATTAGGAAGGTTGAGAACCACTGTCCTACATCATTGTAAAGGCGATGTAGAAATTCCTTCTGTGCACAGACCACCTTCTGTTTAGGTATTTGCTTATTTTGGACACCCAGGTTGTGAGGGGGAGTGTCTTCCTTTGTTTGGTGTTTGGGGATTTTTTTTTTTTGAAGGGTGCTATTATAAACTTCAGAACCTCTTTGCAATTGAAGCAGCGGCCCATCCATGATTCTTTCCTGTGAATCAATTCTAAGAAGTGAAATTTCTGGGTCAATTTGTATGCAAATTGTAAAGCTTTTCATAGATAGTTCCAAGTTGCAGAAAGTTTTTAAAATCCAATTTGTATCTAAAAACCCTTTTTTAAAAAAGGTAATTATTTATACAGAAAGAAAAATCAGAAAATAATTGAAGCAAAAGTATGCAGGTCAAGATCACTGGCACTATCACCGCCCAGGTACCATGTCTGTTACCCCGCCGTTCCCCATCTCTCTGTCTCTCTGGCTCCCTGTCTCTGCTATGTCTCTGCCTTGCTCTTTGTGTCTCTCTCTGTCTCCTCCTCTTTTTCTCTTCTATTTGTCAATTCCTGGTGATGTCTCACTCTTTCTGCGTCTCTTTCTTGCTCCCTGTCTCGCTGTCTCTGTCCCCTTCTGTCCCTGTACCATATGGTTTTTTCTCTCTCTCTCTCAACACTGAGGTCAGCCCTCACACAATGTTCCCTAGCCAGGGCGGCAGGAATAATTCCTCACTTTGGGGCCGGGCTCGGGTGCTGGCAAAGTGTTTTCACATGTCATTATCACCCTTTTCCAGGTGAGGCTCTGAGGCTCCAAGTGGCGGG